GGCACAAGATGCAACAAAAATGTGTTGAAAATTCTAGAGAAATCACACCATAGAAACCAAGGCCGTCGCCATGGAGTCAAAATTGGGGGGGACCAAATCTTCCAGGGTGTCTGGGGGCCCCAACCCAGAAAAATATCTAAATTTGAAAACTAATTTCCTGCCTAAAATCTTTATAAATTCACTAACACATAGGATGGACTTTTTCTAATTTTTTTACAATAATGTCTAATAGTGTATTGTATTCAATTGCTCTGTTTTTACTTTTTTAAATTTTCTTGTTTTGTTGTATGTAATGGCAGAGATTAGGGATTAATAAAGTACAACCATAACCACAATCATATGAACATAAATCTATGCATTGATTTATATGAAGACAAGTCCAGATATTGTGGCCAAGGTTTAGCAAATTGTTCTTGTTTTTACATAGCATAGCAATAATTTTTTTATAGCAATATGTTGGGGGGGAGATTTTGAGCATATTTGAATATTTATTGGGGGGGATGCGTCCCCCCCAATATATATTATAATATATTATAACTAGCTGTACTACCCGGCTTCGCCCGGGACTTGTATCCACCACGGCCGGCCGCCTTTGTATCCCCAGTGGCGATGTTAATACGCCACACCAGTTACTCGTTTTGCGGCTGAGTCCCTCCCTCACCACTCTCCCTCCCTCACCACTGTCCCTCCCTCACCACTCTCCCTCCCTCACCACTCTCCCTCCCTCACCACTCACGCACGGCCGCCTTTGTCTCCCCAGTGGCGATGTTAATACGCCACACCAGTTACTCGTTTGAGGCTGAGTCGACCTAGGGGAGGTTCAAATAATCGTCACCGGTGGTGGCCGTGAGCGGGAATGGAACTCGGTTCGCCGGGTTTGTAGCGCAGCGTAGCGTTAACCACTACACCCACCGCTCCTCACACACCACACACGCACAGACACAGACACACACACAGACACACGCAGACACACACAGACAGACACACACACACAGACACACAGACAGCACGCTAACCACTACACTACCGCTCCCCACACACCACACACGCACACACACAGACACACACACAGACACACACACACAGACACACACACACAGACACACACACACAGACACAGACAGCACGCTAAGCACTACACTACCGTTCCCCCTACACAACACACGCGCGCGCGTCCATAGGTACACATACACGCGCTTGCTGCAGACACACACGACTGTCAGGGTGCGTACGGCAGTAAACGACTGAAAAAAGAAAGCGGCAATGCTGCGCGAGGAACGCCTTAGACCTGCAACACATTTGTGTAATGCGAGCGTAAACACACAAACACATACAAACACATACACACACATACATACACACACATACACACAAACACATACACACACATACACACACATACATACACACAGACATACACATACACACAAACACACACATACATACACACAAAAACATAGACAATACACACACACATACATGCAGACACACAGACAGACACATAACACACATACATACACACACATACATACACATAAACACATCCACAGACGTACATACACACATACATACAGACACGCAGACATACACATAAACACATACAAAAAAACCCACATACATACACACACACATACACACAAACACATACACACACATATATACACACATGCATACAGACACACAGACATACACAAACATATACACACATACACATGACCCGGCTTCGCCCGGGACTTGGATCCACCACGCCCGGCCGCCTTTGTCTCCCCAGTGCCGATGTTAATACGCCACACCAGTTACTCGTTTGAGGCTGAGTCGACCTAGGGGAGGTTCAAATAATCGTCACCGGTGGTGGCCGTGAGCGGGAATCGAACTCGGTTCGCCGGGTTGGTAGCGCAGCGTAGCGTTAAGCACTACACCCACCGCTCCTCACACACCACACACGCACAGACACACACACAGACACACACACAGACACACGCAGACACACACAGACAGACACAGACAGACACACACACACACAGACACACAGACAGCACGCTAAGCACTACACTACCGCTCCCCACACACCACACACAGACACACACACAGACACACACACACAGACACACACACACAGACACAGACAGCACGCTAAGCACTACACTACCGTTCCCCCTACACAACACACGCGCGCGCGTCCATAGGTACACATACACGCGCTTGCTGCAGACACACACGACTTTCAGGGTGCGCACGGCAGTAAACGACTGCAATAATAAAGCGGCAATGCTGCGCGAGGAACGCCTTAGACCTGCAAGACATTTGTGTAATGCGAGCGTAAACACACAAACACATACAAACACATACACACACATACATACACACACATACACACAAACACATACACACACATACACACACATACATACACACAGACATACACATACACACAAACACACACATACATACACACAAACACATACACACACGTACATACACACATACATACAGACACACAGACATAGACATAAACACATAAAAAAACCCACATACATACACACACAGACATACACACAAACACATACACACACATACATACACACATACATACACAGAGACAAACACATACACACAAACACACACATACATACATACACACAAACACATACACAATACACACACACATACATGCAGACACACAGACACACACATAACACACATACGTACACACGCATACATACACAGAAACACATACACACACATACATACACACACACATACATGCACACAAACACATGCACACACGTACATACACACATACATACAGACACGCAGACATACACATAAAGACATACAAAAAAACCGACATACATACACACACACATACACACAAACACATACACACACATACACACATACATAGAAACACACAGACATACACATAAACACATACACACATACACATGACCCGGCTTCGCCCGGGACTTGGATCCACGATGGCCGGCCGCCTTTGTCTCCCCAGTGACGATGTTCACACACGACAGCAGTTACGCGTTTGAGGCTGAGTCGACGTAGGGGAGGCCCAGGTCCGTTTCAAATAATCGTCAGCGGTGGTGGGCGTGAGTTGGAATGGAACTGGGGTCGCTCAACCAGCTTAATGACTATTTGTACAAAGAACATATAAAGAATCGATTATAATAACCAGGCTACAGTCCACATTATAGACTGGCAGTACACGCACTCAGCTTCATAAGCAGGCTAGAGTGTACATGATAGAGTGGCAGTACGCTCACCGAGTTTAATAAGCAGGCTACAGTCTACATGATAGACTGGCAGTACGCTGACCCAGCTTAATGACTATTTGTACAGTGAACATTTAAGTAATCGATTGTTGGCGCGTTGGGTTTAAAAGTAATATAAATTGCACACATTGTGGTGGGGGTGGAGTGAATAGTAGGAAAAACTTTGATGAATTTACCTCAGAGTGGCGTGGTGGGTGTCGAGGCCTAGTAGCGTGCAGAGCCTGCGGCCTCGCCAAAATTGTCCAGCCGGCAAAGGCATGGTACGGGTGGCGTGCCTTCCCCCCCCCCTCAGCGCTCCAACAATACTGTGTAATGGCTATTATTTAATTATTTACGGAGCCTATGAAAGTGGCGAAGGCGTGGCTAGCCGTTGGCAGGGGCAACCGCCGTCCAATGAAACTGCAGCCCTTGGCGAAGGCGTCGCTAGCCGTTGCCAGGTCCAATGAAAGCGGCGAAGGCGTCGCTAGCCGTTGCCAGGGGCAACCGCCGTCCAATGAAAGTGCGTATGGTCCGAAATCCACACACACAGACAGACAGACATGCACGATTTTATATATATAGATTACGGCCTTGATATAAACACGCACCACGCAACGCAGCAGCGAAAGACAGTGCAGCAGAGGGCAAGATGGGACAGGTCGGAGTGTTCCGGCCAGGCCACCACACTCTGCTTTTCGCAAAGGAAAAATAACACGCACAAAATATGACCAAATAAACACAAAACACAGCACCACAAATAACGAAAGAGTACATCGAGGGAAGCCCCTTCACTTTATAAAAAATGTTAAACACAAAAAGAACGAGAAAAAAACACTGGGAAATGTGAAGTTTTCACGCTTTTGCAGAACTCCGAAAAAACGTGACCACCCTCCTGTTCCTCCTGCTCCTCCTCCTCATCCTCCACCTCATCCTCATCCTCCTCCTCATCCTCCTCCTCATCCTCCTCCTCATCCTCCTCATCCTCCTCCTCATCCTCCTCATCCTCCTCCTCCTCATCCTCCTCATCCTCCTCCTCATCCTCCTCATCCTCCTCCTCCTCCACCTCATCCTCCTCCTCATCCTCCTCCTTCTCATCCTCATCCTCCTCCTCATCCTCCTCCTCCTCCTCCACCTCATCCTCCTCCTGCTCCTCATCCTCCTCCTCCACCTCCTCCTGCTCCTCATCCTCCTCCTCCACCTCCTCATCCTCCTCCTGCTCCTCCTCCTGCTCCTCCTCCTCCTCATCCTCCTCCTCATCCTCCTCCTCATCCTCCTCCTCATCCTCCTTCTCATCCTCCTCCTCCTCCTCCTCCTCATCCTCCTCCTCCTCCTCATCCTCCTCCTCCTCCTCCTCATCCTCCTCCTTCTCCACCTCCTCATCCTCCTCCACCTCCTCATCCTCCTCCTGCTCCTCCTCCTGCTCCTCCACCTCATCCTCCACCTCATCCTCCTCATCCTCATCCTCCACCTCATCCTCCTCATCCTCCTCATCCTCCTCCACCTCATCCTGCTCCTGCTCCTCCTCCTCATCCTCCTCCTTATCCTCATCCTCCTTCTCATCCTCCTCCTCATCCTCCTTCTCATCATCCTCCTCCTCCTCCTCATCCTCCTCCTCCTCATCCTGCTCCTCCTCCTCCCCCCTCGTCTGCTGCTGCCGCTGATGCCGATGATGATGTTGCTGCTGATGATGATGGGGTTGTGGATCTCAATAGTCGTTGGTGACTCCTCTTCCTCCAGGGACGTACAAGGTCATGGACTGCATCAGCGGTGGAGGGAATGGCATGTGCGATCTGTGCCCCAAGGGCTCATTCATGAGCAGAGACAACAGCGAGGAGATGTGCATGCCATGTAGCAGCTGCGGACCAGGTATAGAGATGACTGCACAGAAAGTAGGCTGTTGCCGGATCTGAATATATGTGTGTGTGTGTGCAGTAATTAGATGTTTGCTTAAAATGTATCACCATTATTATTTTCCGTGTGGTCGGACTAATCTGCACATTCTGGTTTCACCGCACGTGCAACTATAACAACAAAACTCATCAAGGCTTTGACAAATAAAAGCGAGCGAGACCGATCAATTGCGTTTGCACATTCTTACGATTCCAGTCCATCACTATGAACAAAAAAGTAATATTTAAAAATACTTTTTTTTAAACACGCTTTAATGAAATGTACCGTACGAGTAATGGCAGAACTCCACGACTCCAGGAAGTGGCCCCGAGGCTTGTCAGAACGTAAGGGACTGTGGCCAATTACAGCCAACGTGAGTTGAGCGTGGACAATTAGACCCAAGCCGAAACATAACATATAAAAAAGATTGCTTAAAAATATATATTGTTATTTTTCATGATGGAATATAGTATTGTCATCAGTATGACATTGGTAAGTGGGTTAAAATTGAGTTACAAGATTTGAGGATACGACAACAGGCAGAGTTGAGGATACAACAGACAGAGTGAGTTAAATAAAAGCGTGTAATAAATAATAAACGATTTATTTTATTTGACCAGGTGTAAGGCCCACTGAGCTACATAGCGACCGGGCCATCACAACTCATATCAGCTCAACGAATTGACTGATACCATTATCACGTCCGGACATTTGTAGCGGCAGCCAAACACTCCAAACGGGTGACGTTGATTCTAAATGTGGGGGGAAATAAAACCGGAGGACCCGGATACAAATCCACGCAGTGACCACCACGGAGAGAGAGAGAAGCAGGCTCCCAATACACAGCATCAGACATCGTCAGGTTCGAGATTGGACCCACGATCTCTTGCATATGAAGCGAGGTAGTTAACATCTCATAGCCACCGTGGCACCTCGCAAAATCCACACTGATCAGTGATCTCTTTGTAATAGCACCGTTTTAAATCAGTGGTAAAACTGGCTCAGGCTCAAGGATAGAACCCCTAACATCTGCCAGTGCAGTCCATGTTCTCCTATAACGCGGTGGCGGTTGCAGTAGGAGTAGTAATTGAGTTCCTGAAGAACACCGCGCTATGAAAAAAATCGAGTTAGAATAAATAACAAATAATGTGGGGAGTCGAAAGCACAATCCACGAAGACTGAGGAAGGCACCTGCAGAGGGTAGCTGCGTCTACTAGAAGTATCCAGCAGTATCCCAGTGCCTCGTGCGATGGTGACGATGCTGCTGCCGCTACGCCGAGGCGGCTGCATTGCGACTCGCGTGTTTCCTACTCGCGTTAACAGTGACGAGGTGCTGTCTGCGTCTCTCTGTCTTCAGACGAGGAGGCGGTCGTGAACTGCTTCATGGCCCAGGACACCGAGTGTTGGTGCAGGGAAGGGCTTAAGAGAGACGCCGATGACTCACAGCGCTGTGTTCCCGACGACTCACGGACCGGTGTCCATCAAGGGTATAAGACAGGTTAGGCCGTACAAACTAAAAACGATTAATCAATGTTTTTCTTTTACTTCACCAGGCGTAAAGCCCCACTACTCAGGGCCGGATTATGGTTCTTGTAGGATCTAGGCATACTGGTTGGTTCTTTCGGTAAAGTCATGTAGGTAATAAAATAAGTTCAATCACGACGTTTTGATTGCAACACAAGCAATCATCATCAGGTGGGAAAACCACAGCAAGAAAATAATAATAAATAATAATAAATTATTATCAGATGATGATTGCTTGTGCTGAAATCGAAACGTCATGATTAAATTTATTTTATCTATACCTACGTGACTTTACCGAAAGAACCAAAGAGTATCCAAATATACAGCAGCAGGCATCTTCAGGGGTCGGAATCGTATGCCTCTGATCTTCGCAGCTGATAGTTTCTCAGTGATGTCATCACCTTTACTCCCCTCTATACCGCATGATGAAGCTGCTGGTGGTTGTTGTTGTAATCAGCCAGCGAAACGTCACAGTAACTCCAATTGTAAATGCTGTTGTGGGTTTAACTCTCCAACACACAACAACCGGTTTTAGTGCCGAAATAGCCACTAATTGGCCACGTTTTGTGTTATCTGACACTGACCCTTCACTCATTGGCTGTGTCGGGTGGTGGTGGCGGGTTTAACGACGACGCAACCTTTATATTTATGCGATCTAACACCAAACAAAAATCGTCATCATAGTTGGGTTCAGGTACTGCCGCACAAAGGACGAAATACCGAATGAATGTTGAATTGCACAGCTTTCACTCGTATTCTGCCACAACGCAGACGTTTTCATGATGCCAATTGGATATATAACGTGATGAATGTATATTAGGGAAATATATTTTTAGTTATAACCCGGATGCAAACTGGATATATGCGATTGAGTGAACGGAACTACGACGTCACAGCGTGAGTAGGAATGAGCAGTTTGTAACAGCAGCCTCGGCATAGCATGATCATAATCATCATTGTCACACAAGGCATTGGGATGCTGCTGGATGCTTTTAGACGCTGCTACCCTACATGTGCCTTGATCTTTGTTCAGGCCCTTAGTTTTGCATAATCTCGCGAGTTATCACGGACTGTACTTTATACCCACCCCGATATTCTATATAACTAGCGGGAAGTACCCGGCATTGCCCGAGTCTTAAAAATATTTCAAAATTACTCTTAAAAATCTAACAGCAGTGCGTACTGACTGTGGTGGTACCCGGTCTGATTACGGCAGTGCATACTGTGGTTGTACCTGCTTTCACTGCAGCAATGCATACTGTGGTGGTACCTGCTTTGATTACAGCAGTGCATACCGACTCTGGTGGTACCTGCTATCACTACAGTAGTACATACTGACTCTATAGCAGTATTTATGGACTCTATAGTGCAAAGTACTCACCTGACAGAGTGGCGTGGTGAGGCCTAGTCCTGTGCAGAGCCTCTGGCCTCGCCTAGATTGTCCAGCCGGCCGAGGTGGCACCTTGGCAGGCTGGGGCTGGGCTGCTACCACTGACCCCCCCCCCCCCCAGGCACGATGTCCCCAGCCACTCTGCAGTAATATCTACGGCCTATAGTGGTAGCATCTCGCGACTGTATAGTAGTGTAGAGGTGATACGCGCTGGGATTAGGGATCGTATGCACAGTGCGTGATGATTGGCTGTGTAGGTGGTGACGCGCGCTGACGGTGGAGGATCAGGGGTCAGCGCGGGGTCGTGGGTTACGGGGTACCGATTGGCTGTGGGCCGGTGACGCGCTGAGAGGGAGTGATCAGGTGGCAGCGCAGTGTGATTGGTGGAGTAATGTTAACACGCGCTGGGGAAAGCGGATCGTAGAGAGAGTGCGTCGTGATTGGTTCATTAAGGAACGACGCTCACGTCGACGCCGCATCAGCTCCGTCTCTCGTGAGCAGGGGCTATAAAAGGGGATGCACACAGGCGTAAGGGCAGTGTGTAACCAGCGAAGAATGAAGACGGGGATGAAGACCTAGAGCCCTGCGGTACCTAGCCCCGCTGTCCTAAGGGGACCGGGACTCTGTGTAACCCAGAGGCGAGTGTAGTGTGTGTAGCCATAGGTCTACACGAGCCGAATGTATTGTGTGTAGCCAGGGCATAGGGTCTACACGAGTCGAGTGTATTGTGTAGCCAGAGGCATAGGGCTTACACGAGTCGAGTATATTGTGTGTAGCCAGAGGCATAGGGTCTACACGAGTCAAGTGTATCGGGTGTAGCCAGAGGCCTAGAGCTTACACGAGATTAGTGGAGTGTGTCGTCGGAAGAAGAAAGACCACACGTTGTATTGTGATACCTAAAGGATTTAATAAAAGTGTGTTACCCGTCAAGAAGTTCCTGCCGTCAATTCCAATACTTCAGTAGTAATAACTGCACGCATCAGGAATTTACCTGAACGTTTAGTGTATTTTTATAGCATTTTAAACGCGAATGAAAATGTCCCCCTCACTCCCACTGGAGGAATGCGACTTGGCATGGGCCGTCCTCCCCACCAAAGGCACGTGAGTTGGTATGGTCGTGCACGCGTCATAAATAAATAAGTAAGAAAGTGCACAGAAATCGCACTAAATCGCTAACTAAACTAATTTAAAGTTGATGGATGTGAAAAAGGAATAGCGCTTGCTCACCATGGGGCTTACGGCGTGGTACCTGGCTATTTTTTTTTTACTTAAAACCCCACCGTTGGAGTGGCAAGCGGGTGACCACACACAAACCCTGCCACAAACAAACACCGCCACACATCCACACACAAACCCCGCCAGAAACCCACACACAACTTTTTACTTTTTTATATTTATATCGGGGTGGGTATGTTCTTCAGGAACGCAACTACGCTACTGCGTGTTATAGGAGAACACGGACTGCACATTGTCTCCAAACGTCTGCACGTGATGATGATGATGAAGTTTACACCTGTGAATTGCGCTGACTTCTCTCTGAATGTGAAAGTTTAATGTTCTGGTTTTCTCGTATAATCTTTGATTTTTTAATCTTTTTTTATTCAACACGCACAGCTGCCATTGGATTGGCGTTCACCCTCGTAAGCATACTCGCGCTGAAATTAGGAGTGATCGTCTTCAAGGGACGAGACTTGCCGACATTAGGATGCACGTACCAGCACGGTAAGCGCAACGCTCCGTCCTAAAAGATGTAAAGCAAAACAGCGGTCCTTTTGGCTTACGACGCCATCGATTAACGATATTTAGAGCTGCCTCCCATCGGGGGGGTCCACGTTGTTTTTCATTAACAGTACATTTTCGATCAATGACTGGCGTGCGTGTCTGTTTTACGACATCACGTGGACACGCAGATTTTGGCCAATCAGAGCTGCTCCTGAGTGGACTCGCATACCTGTCAACCCCTTATGAGTGCCCCTACCTTACCAAAGACCATTTCAGACCATATTGGTCACCCCGTGCCCCTTATAAATCTCAACGTCCATACTACAGTCCCATCACAAGGGAGAAACACAAACAAATAGGCAAAAATAGCATTTGCCCGTATTGAAACGGCTGTATGCCGTATGGACCTAAAAACTAAATTTCCCTGTACAAGAATATAGCTGTGGTAATGGGCAAAACCTGCATGGGTTGTATTATTATTACGTCCAAACCCACCGCTTCACGGATGTGTTGCAGTTTCTCATTCTACGGCGACCACCCTTCATTGTGTCGTTGCATTGGTCCTCCTCTCTCTCTAGTCAAGATGTCAGGATGCTTTCCTGACTAGGGGTGCCACGGTGTCTAGGAGATGTTAACTACCTCGCCTGGTATACAGGAAGTCGTGCGTTCGATCCCGACCCTGATGCCTGTTGCTGTATATTTGGAGTTTGCGTCTCTTCTCTCTCCTCGTGGTGGTCATAATGGTCGCGTGGAGTTTTCTCCGGGTCCTCCGGTTTTTTCCCTCCACATTTAAAATCAATGTCATGGCGTTCAGAGAGTGTTTGGCTGCTGCTATACATTTCCACACGATGATGATAATGATATCATCCACTTCGTTGAGCTCTCATTTGTGTGGGCCAGGTCGCTTTAAAAAATACGCTCAGTGGAGCCTTTCCTGCTAAAAAAAAAAAGTATTTATGGCGACAATTTTTATAGACTTGTGTAAACTGCTTTTATTTGACAAACAAATTATACATAAAGTAGAATAGAGAGTGGTATTCCTTAATATATCAATCATATAGACTTACTTTTCACACCGATGGTTGTGCAGTATACATTTGCAATGGGTAACTGAGCATGCTCTGTTTAGGTACTGTACCACGTTATGATCCACCATCCCATCTGTAACAGTAGTACCAGTACTAAAGGCAGTACCTACTACGACTAGTAGTAGTAAAATCTACTACTACCTGTAGTAGTACTTGTCGTAATAATAGGTACTGTACCACGTTATGACCCACTATCCCATCTCTAAAAGCAGTACCTAGTTCTAGTAGCAGAACCTTAACGTTACGATTCACCGTCCATCTCTTTGCTTCGATTAAAGTACTTTAGATCTTACATTCTGTTTGTTAAGGAAACGCATCCTGGACGTAAAACCGGGGTACGCCTATACTGTACTAAGTTGAAATAAGACACGATGCTTTGTTCGGTATCTGATAGCAGCAGAAGCATTGTCATCTCACTCTCACGTCTTAATTCCACAGGCGCTGCAATCGAAGGGTACCGAATTGTTCCTTCCCAAATTCTGGAAATGCAAACAGATGGATATCAGGTAAACTCACCACTGGAAACACTCGCACTCTCCTTACTCTTCAGGCTTGGACACATATGTATGTATGTACGTTGAACTTGCTTCACACCGTAAGTAGCCAACTGTGCAAATCTGTGGGTCTCTATGGGTCTGGGTGTCTGTGTGTCTCTGTGTATGTATGTGTGTATGTATGTATGTTGAACTTTTTTCGCACCATACGTAGCCAACCATGCTAAACAGGAGGAAGGATACAGTCCGTGTTCTCATCAAACGCGCGGTAGAGTAGTTGCTTTCCTGACAAACACCATGTGATGGAAAAAATCGTGTAATAATACATTATAAATAATACAGGGGTGAATATGAAGCACAGTCTGTGATAACGCGCGAGACAATGCGTAACGCAGGGCCTGAACAAAGACCGAGGCACATGTAGCGTAGCAGCATCGAGAAGCATCCAGCAGCATCCCAATGCCTCATGTGATGACAACGATGCTACGCCGGAGGTAGCCATATTACACCCACCACTCATTCCCCACCAGCCCTGTAACGTAGCAGTTCTGTTTGCTCAATTCGCATTGTGAAAAAAACAACTCCTATGGGGCATTACAGGAGACCACGTACCGCCTCACCACCGGGGTCCAATTACACCATGGTTACATTGCATGCATCTCGAGTTGCTCCACCGCAGGTGAAGATTGGGAGCGAGGCGGTGAATCTCACCTGCGACAGCAGCGAGAACATCAAGGCATCAATCCGGGTGGATCCCTCGCACCTCCTACAGCACCTCCATCACTTCAAAATGATCCCGGCCAACGTCTATGAAGAGGCGAAAGACAGGAGTCGCAGGGAGTGCGTGGAGCTCATACTGAGCCACTTCACCAGCCAGGGGGAGCTGGGCTGTGAGAAACTCTGGGAGGTTCTCTACTACTTCAGTAACAACTACGTGCAGCTGCGGAAAAAGGTCCACAGCAGCGGTACGACGGCCCTCAATGTCACCCGTCCCAGGGGGATGGCAAACTTGTGGCTCCGGGAGCCGCATGCTGGTGGCTCTGTGACTGTGCCCCACCCCCCCCCCTTGTGACTCTTTAACTCCTCCACCACCCCTTTCGACTCTTTGGCTCCTCCCCCCCTCTTTGTGGCTCCGTGGCTGCCCCACTCTGACAATGCACAAACGGTGAAAACACCCCAATCTCCACCGTCGTCATGCTGCTGTTCAAACCCCCGCAATGGTGCTACAAATGGTGATGATGTCTTAAATTAGCGAATAACCACTCCCACGCGTGACATGTTCGCGGCAAAAAACGTGCAAACAAAACGTGCTCTCTGCCAATGTCTTTGTGGCTGTTTACCTTTTTGTCTGAGAACTGGCGGTGCAGCGACAAGGCCGCAGAGAAGGCTACCGTATCCTGGTGTTGTCGGCCAATCGGTTTCAAAGACAACACACGCACAGTGATCCCTTACTGACCGCGAGGTTTTAGTATCCGCGGATGCACCTGTTTACATACCTGTCAAACCCTTATCAGTGCCCTACCTTATCACAGAAAAATTCAGACCTTATTGGTCAGCCCGTGTCCCTCTCAGCATTCATCCTACAAAGTCTCAAGGGAGAAACAGAGACAAACACATTTTTTTGCCCATATTGAAACAGCTGTACGCCGTATGGACCTTAAAACTCAATTTCCCTGTACAAGAATATGGGCTCAACCGTATGGGTTGACACGGTATGTTTTTACCAACCGCGCTACCGCAAGCATCTCGGCCTGAGTGATATGCGAATCGCGAGAGTCGCGGCTTTACTACTCCCAGGTGCGGGCGGTTTCCTCGCTCTTCCGTTTCCTCCGCGGTGCCGCCGTACACTTTCAGTTAATTCTCCCGGCCCCTTCTCGCCCAGCCCGTTCCAAGTTCCGCCAGCCTGTCTCCGTGCGCTTTCGCTGGAGCGCTCTCGGTTCGCCGTTATCGCCCGATTCTCCAGCCTCCACTTCAATCTCTTCCATTTTCTCCTCTCGAGAACCCCGGAAGGGTAGCCGCAATGACCTTCCACTCTACTCCCAGTGCTGTCCTTCAGGCCCTCACCCAGGGCGTCCGGCCTGAGCTTGGAAATGCAGCGGTGATGACAACGCCTTGGCCTTCTTGCCGAAGAGTCTGGCTTCCATCCTGACCACGAGGAAGGCTTCTGTTGGGGGTGGGCGCATCAGTTGTCTTGAGTCTCCAGGGGTAGGAGAGATCCGTATTACGCAGCTTACCCTGTTGTGATGTCTTCCCAAGTCCAGTGGGAGTGAATACATGTGTGGTTAATGCGGACTTGATTCCTCGCCAAAAGGTATCATACCTTTGGGTGTTTGAACACCTTAACATCTCCTGGTGTATTTCCCAACAGGGCAAAGAACACCGATTAAAATGTTTTCACAACTGTAAGAGACGTTGTTGGCTAGGTCCATCTCACGCGGGAAATTGAGCCGCCCAGAAAGGAATTGACACCCGTGACTGTGATTGCCACCCACAGGCGTGGCGGTGCGCTCTGTCCATAGCAAGCATGCTGACTTGAAGGCGTGGATCGGAAAGAACCCAGGGCAACTTCTCGAGCTGCTGATGAGGCAAGGACGGATCACCACCGAGCTCCTCACCAGGGCCAGGGGCGAGCGAGACGAGTATGAGTGTGCTGCTCGCATCCTCGACTACTTCGTGGAGAGAGGCAATGACGACTGCCTCAAGCTGCTGCTCACTCTGCAGGACGTGGGGCCGGTGTATCCCGAAGTCGAGCAGTGGCTGAGATCCCTCGGTAAGAGAGGGAAAGTGACGCATTCAGAAAGAATGACGAACAAAAAACTAAGAGTAGGTTTCGATTTAAAGCTTTCGTGACTGCAGTGATTCATCTTCTTGGTTCTTTCGGTTAAGTCATGTAGAATAGAAGTAATAAAATAATAAAAATAAAACATAATAAAATACAATTCTCACGACGTTTCGGCCACAACGCAAGCAGCCGTCCTCAGGTGAAGAACAGGTCGGTCGAGAAGAATGACTCCCGTGACCATTCAGACGCTGTCTTCTCGACAGACCTGTTCTTCACCTGAGGACGGCTACTTGCGTTGTGGCCGAAACGTCGTGAGAATTATTTTATTATGTTTTATTTTTATTATTTTATTATTTCCATTCTACGTGACTTTACCGAAAGAACCAAGAAGACTAAGAGTAGGCTTTACTATCCCCCTTTTCTGGTGATTAAACTGTAAACTATTTTTTATTTTATTTTATGAGACATAGGCCCTCCTGAGCTACGTCGCTATTTTTCAGTTAGATCGCGTACCTATAAATGTGTCGTTAAACCCTCGACCACCCGACACACTCGATTAGTAAGATTTGTCACGTAAACAGAACATGCCAATTCGTTACTAGTCGGTAAAGTCATGTTAGTTAGAAATAAAATAAAATAAAACAAATCACGACGTTTCGATTGCAACACAAGCAATCGCCCACTTCAGCAATTTTTTACTTGAACCATTCGGATAGCTACGTAGAAGCGAATAATCAAATAATACATTATTTAAATGCATGCCTACAACGGGCAGCATACTTAAAAAGGGATTACCATTGGTAGGGCTATTTTAATAAACACAATAGGCAGGAAGGACAAGTTCAAAGGGCTCGCATAATGCACATGCATAATGTACGTTGCCTCAATAATCCCCCCCACATTGTGCAAGAGCGCAGAAGGGTGGTCAACACATCCACGCCTCTATATAAGGAACGAAACAGTAAGACTTCTCCACAAATCTGGCAGTCGTCTGATGAAGCTAGTTGTAATTACTGGAGAAACGTCGTACTCAGTTTATAAATATTGTGACTTGGCTCTCCAACACACAGGTGTGCTGTACTAGTGACGAATTGGCATGTTCTGTTTACTTGACAACCCTTACTAGTTGGCTGTGTCGGGTGGTGGCAGGTTTTAACGACACATTTATATTTTTATGCGATCTAACCCAAAAAACTCTATTATGGATGATATTGGTCGCGAAAGCCTACGTGTTAAATTACAATGAGTATGCATTGCCTGTTGGGTTATTAATATGGTAATCAACGCACATTATGCATGCACATTGTGCTTGTACCTCCTGGTGGCGGGTTTGACGACACATTTATATTTACGTGATCTAACCAAAAAAAACTTATATTAAGGTCAATTTACATACCTACACAGAGACCCACATACACACAGACCCACAGAGACCCACAGATTTGCACGGTTGGCTACATACGGTGCGAAAGACTTTCAACATACATACACACTACTACGCACTACACTACTTTACAATACACTACTATACACTACACTTTACACAGCCTCCGATTAGTATAGTTGGCTACGTATAAAGGAAGTTCAACATACCCACACCCACTCACTACTGTACACTATACACTACACTACTATCCATTATGCAATACACTACACGATTATACACTACACTATACACTACTATGATGTACACTACTTGAGCATATTGAGATTACAAAACAGAGAGAGGAAAGTGGAAACAACAAAATACGAAATGTGCAGTGGACCACCTTCGACTACGGTGATATCTGCCCCATGGATTGTGATTGATGATGAATATGGAAAAGGGTTGAGCAATGCTGTCGCTTTGACTACGTGTTATTAGTCATGTCATTCAGAAAATGACCACCGCCCTTGCCCCCTGTCTTTCAGAATTTCTCAAAGAGATCTCCAACACGTTCATCGTGTGCCTGAACCGGCACTCCGACCACGTGCTTCACGATCGAATCCGCCTCAACAAGACGACGCTGATTAGAGCTCTAGCGAAAGGGCCAAATATGCTGATCGCACAACTTCACAACCGGGGCTTTCTCACCAATAACCACAGACAGGTGGGCGATTTTTGTTTTCTTCTTCATATTTTTCTCTCCATCGAGCGTTTTAAAACTGCTTTCCTTGTACGTGGAAGTCCAGGGTTGGTGGGGGTTTCTGTCGAATGTTTCTGAAAAGTCCTCCTTTTTACACGCTTTAATTTATCTCACTCTGTCTGTTGTATCCTCAACTCTGTATGTAATATCCTCAACTCTTTCCGTTGTCGTATCCTCAAATCTTAAAACTCAATTTAACCAACTTCCCAATGTCGTATCGACTGCAAACTTAGTATACGTATGTTATACTGATGACAATACTATATTCCATCATAAAAATTCATATATATTTTTAAGCAATGTTTTTTATATCTTATGTTTTTGCTTGGGTCTAATTATTCACGCTCAATTGACGTTGGCTGTAAATCACCACGGTCCCTTATGTTATGGCAAGCTTCGGGGCCACTTCCTGGAGTCGTGGAGTTCTGCCATTACTCGTACGGTACATTTCATTAAAGCGTGTTTTTATAAGAGTATTTTTAAATATTACTTATTAAAACCCACATTTCAGTCAAATGCAAAAAGTAGATAGGTTTGCTTGATCGTTGAAAAGGCATAATATTAAACCAATCAGTCTACCAGATTAAAACTTTCCCGTTCTGATGATGTTAAGTGTAAATCATTGGTCATCCATGTTTTTCTTCCTGTTTCAATCCGATGACGTATGTGTGCATTGTGAGGTTTGCTCTTTATTTTTATTATTAATATGGGAGAGAGAGGAGTTTGGAACCATTTACTCTCCCCATGCAATTCCCTCATTAGTAGAGAGCACCAATGCGGATTATTATAAGAGTGCTTTAACAGTGGTATAAAGATGGACAATAATTCAATCTGGAATACTGCGAGTCTTAACGAGATTTATAATTTATTAACTATGCCTTGAGACAATTTGTCCAAGGACGAGAATCAAAACAGACAATAATTTCCAACATCTACACAGCGCCCCCACGCATCGACAATTACAAAACACTGAGCTCTACCGACTCCTCGAAACTCCTCGAAACTCGAACAACACACGGCTACACAGCGCCCCCTGTGTGTTGGCAACAACAGAGCGCCGTGGTAATACATAAAACTAGATGACCGTTCGTACCAACTCTCACACACGCTCCGCCCTTCAGTGATGCAATGGGGCAGCATAAATCCAGGGTACACACGGGATCTGCCGTCAAGGCCATGCATAGCCTCAAAGATTCCCAGGACCCGACAGTGGTTGTCTTGGTTTGCATTTATAACTGCGCTCTTGATATAGCCACTCAAAAGGCGGTGGTGTCTCGACTTGTTGGAATCCTCCAACCGCAACGTTGAACAGCTCAGCTGCAGTCGTGGTCACGAAGTTTACATCGTCGGTAGCGCTCTTGAGAGACTCCACGTGGCGACAGTCTCGGGACTTGGCCGGCGCCTCCAACCGCAATGTCGAACACTTCAATGCGGCCGCAGTCTCGGTTCCGCAGCCTTGCACCTGGCAGTCGTCGCTGGTCTTCTCCGGGAGTCTCTTGGTCGTGGTGGGCGTCGATCGTCGCCTCTCTGTACCCCGGTGGCGCCCCACTTGAATCCACAAATTTAGCCCCGGGCACATGACCTCTCTCTCTCTCTGCCCTTCCTAGCAGCCAATTAGCTGCCTTTTGCTGGGTGGGAGACATTCGTCTCTTGCCTCTCGGCTCCTGTCAATCAACTTGGCATGTGCAGCAACCTCCAATGGGAACCTCGAAAATTAGTTATACTAAAGCCGATTTTTCTTGTTGGCAACACCTGGCCACCAACCATGCATAGCCCCGTCGAACACCCCCCCCTCACCCCCACCACCTAGCCTGTTCCGACTGGCCAATTTGTGTCCTGCCGCCAATTAAGGCCAGACCGAGTGGCACCGTCGCTTCCGGAGGTGGAGGTTGCCAGGGGATTCAACTCCCTGACCACTCACCCACCCCCTTACCTCATGTAACTTTAGCCACCTCGGCATGACAGCGCTCACCCACACCATTACATGCGTCACATAGCGCCCCTGAATACTGAGTACAACCGCAGCTGGGTTTGTCGCCCCCATGCGCCCCCCAACCGCCTGCCGTTTTGTCATTCCCATCGTAGAGCGCAACGTTTGAGTCTGGCTTCGTTGCTCCTTTCTCCCCCCCTCTCTCCTTTCCTTCTCTCGACAGATGCTGATAAACATGGACTCTACTGAGGCCACGGTGCAGCTGCTGGACTTTGTCCTGAGCAAGGATCAGTGGAGCGCCAAGGCTTTCTGGGAGCTCCTGTGGGAGCTGAAGAATTCGTACCCTCAACTCGGGGACACCTTCGATGGCTTCCTGAGGAAACAAGTGGAGGCGAAGAGTAAGCTGGCGGGCTGATGAATGTTGCCAGCTTGGGACACTGGCCGACTGTTCATGGCAACAGTCGCTGAAGTGGAAATTTCACGCTTTTAAAATATGGTGGTATAATATTAATTTAAAAAAACAAATTGGAATTTGACCCCGTCAGCATTTATGTTCAAGCGTTTACACTTTACAAGAAAATAAGGGGTTCAGGAACTAATTATGCAACGATAGACTACTAAAACGTGGCAATTTCTTGGGATGACGTTTGACTCTCCTCCTCAACAGCAGCAGCAACGTCCAGTGTTGGGGCAGCTGCTGTTAGCAAGTAGTACCTGTGAAGGCCGGTACGGCACACAAGAGGGGGTGAGTGGCCAACACCACGCCCAGCCGCATTTATCTCTTCAGCGGCGATGTTTTTACACATCGCACCAGGTACTTATTTTGAGGCTGAGTCGACCTAGAGGAAGCCGACCTAGGGGAAGACCCGGTTCTGATAATCGTCGCTGGTGTTAGCCACGAGCGGGAATCGTACTCGGGTCACCAGGTTCGTGTGCTAATTGCTACCCTACTGCTCCCTATCCAGCAGCCCAACGCAATTTCCTTTGCTTTCCCTATCCCAAGCACTTATCCTCACCCTCCTCTGCCCCCCTCTTCCTCTCTCTCACTCCCCTTTCACCCCCCCCCACATTCCCCCTCTTCTCCAATCTCTGCCTATCCCTTAATTCTAACCAAAATCACTCTGCTCCCCTTCTCCTAATCACAATCCATTTGCTCCCCTTATCCTAACCACAATCCCTCCCCTTCCTCATAACCACAATTCCTCCGCTCTCTACTCCCTAACCACAATCCCTCCACTCACCCCCTTCTAACCACAATCCCTCCACTCACCCCCTTCTCCATTTCCATTTGTTTTTTTGAGTGAAAACTCGCCCCCACTAAAGAGGGCATTGTACTACTTTACAGTATGCATTTATATTCTTGGTTCTTTCGGTAAAGTCACGTAGAAGGGAAATGATAAAATAATACAAATAAAACATAATACAATTCTCACGACGATATGGCAACAACGCAAGCTGCCGTCCTCAGGTGAAGAACAGAGCTGTCGGAAAGACAACATCCTAATGAACACTGCTAAGCTTGGCAGTGTATTTTAAGCCGGGTGGGAGGAGCAGAGAGCCTTGACAAAGGAGTTAACATATCAACAGAGGAATTTAGCAAATTGATGACAAATACAGATATGGGGTTAGTCACTCCTTGTGGAATGTGTAGGCGGTGGGGGGTCTCAAAGTCATTATGCTTGTGTATTATGTAGGTTTAGCAGTAATAAATGAAGGGGCATTTTTTATAATTCCAAAGAACTGCAAATACCCTACTACCATACAATAAACCGATGTGAAAAAATAATTTTAATTACATCCATATAATCAATGTACTCAATATACTCTCCAATAAGCTGAGCTATTAACATTAAGTAACTGGGTATACACGACACTATATAATGACTTATTATACCTTCCAATCTAAACTACACTGTATAATATCGTATACACACCACCAATATAAGCTCTAACATTATGCATTATATTCGTATGTCTCCAACTAAACTTTTTTCTACATCACACAACTATACATCGTACTATACACTGCCATAGACAAACCCCAACAATGAATTAAATACTGCGTTACTATACACTACCCTATACCTTAGACTATACATTGTAATATTACACTATGTATTATTCTACAAACCCTACTGTATACCACACTGCTGCATGTTCACTAAACAATTACAATACTATGTATTACCTTATACATTATATTAAACATTACACTGTTATACAATTTATTATTATACAATCTGCAATACACCATACCATTGACAGTCGAGTGAAAGGTACTAAGAGGAAGGAAAGACATATGTAATGGGGGAGTGGTAGCAGGAAACTTGCAGCAGAGCAAAGACTCCGATCCATGAGGAGAAAATAAAGGATATATAGTCAATGCCAGCGAATGGAATGCAGTCTGACAGTCACCGTAAACGTGTTCACAATCAATCAAGACCCGAAATGGTTTATCACATCCTTCCAATGATTGCTGAGCCAGAATCCATCTTCTCGGTTGAAATTGTCTCTGTGTTTGTATGTGTGGAAGGCCTCATGAACGAATCTCTCATGGTAGCCAGATGGCTTGCAGAGAACCTCCGTCTTGGTGAAGTCAATGTCATGTGAGCCCACTAAATTATAACAATGATCTGCCACGGCTGAGGTGTTGGTCCTACCGTGTTTCAGGTCTGCTTTGTAATCACGGATACGGTCTGAGACATGTCGTTTGGTTTCTCCATTGTAACTGCTACCACAGAGGCAACTTAGTTTGTAGACGCCAGGGTACTGTATGTCTGGAATCACATATTTTACGGACGGGACCAGATCGCGGATTTTGTGTACTGTGTTGAATCGGACCTGGATCTTGTGTTTATTCAGGATTTTTGAGATATTTTTGTCACCCCCGCAATGTAGGGTAAGGTGATGGTTTTGAATGGCTCCTCAAGATCCTTCTTTATGGTTGGAGTGATGACTTTGCAGATTGTGTAGTTGGAGTAACCATTAGCCTTGAGAGCTTGGTGTACGTGCTTGAGTTCCCTGGCAATGTGTTCCTGGTTGGAGATGCATTGGGCTCTATGGTGTAGAGTCTTGATGAGGGAATTCTTCTGGGATGAATGGTGGTGGGAATCTGGTTTTAGGTAAGCATCCGTATGGGTAGCTTTCCTGTAGACAGAGTGGCTCATTGAACCATCGGGTCTCTTTTTTATTAGGACATCCAAAAAAGGTAGCTTGTCATCTTTTTCTACTTCCATGGTAAATCTGATGGCTGGGTGTATGGAATTGATGTGGTAGAGGAATTGGTCTCGAGCAGGCCGGCCATGTGGCCAGATGACAAAAGTGTCATCCACGTACCTCTTCCATAAGGTCAGGCGTAGAGTGGCAGTCTGGATGATGGCATCAGTCTCAAATTTCTCCATGAAAACGTTGGCTAAACCCGAGATAGGGGGAGCCCATTGGGGTGCCCTCAGTTTGTGTGTAGAAAGTTCCATTTCAGGTGAAGCATGTATTGGTTAAGCAGTGTCTCACCAGGGGGGGGGGGGTACCTCAGTGTTCAGTCGTTGATAAACCAAGTTTCCAATGATTGCGATGGTGTCAAGTAGAGGAACTTTGGTGAATAAGGAAACAACATCAAAACTGACAAACAGCTCGTCTGGGGACAGATTTTGTAGGTAGGACAGGGAAATACCCTTGATTGTCGATACCAGGTGACTAGAAGATAGTCCTCCTACCTACAAAATCAAGACATGGAAAAAATATAAAAATAAGGGGACATGCTCTAAGAAAGTTAAAAGGAGCCTTGCAAAGTTTCCTAAACTGTTTATTGCTCAGAGCCAATCTGAGGGCCGGTGGATGAGAGTTCCAGATCTTAGATGCCACACTCGAGAAGGCCCCTACTACTGCCCAGCGTAGAATGACAAATTATAGGGCCTGGCCTTAGGAGCACAAGGTGTGTATCTACCAGACGTCTGGGGGGTGCCAGACTAGACTGCAGGGACTGAGGTCCAAGGCCGTTTTGATCTTTGTAAGTCAAAACAGCTAACTTAAATTGTATGCAATAGCTGACTTGGTAGCCAGTGCTGATGATGGAGGATTGGTTATATGTGCTCGAAACGGCTGATACATCTAAGCATGTGGGCCAGCCGCATTCTGCACCAGCTGCAGTTTCCGAACCAGTCCGCGAGGCAGCTCAGCATACAAAGCATTTCCCTAATCCAGACGCTTTGATGCAAAGACGTGAACCAGTGTTTTGAGATCACTAGCAGATACGAGGGGTCACAGCCCTCGGAGCACTCTTCGGTTATTTGGCCACAGCTGCAACCTGAGGGTGCATGGTGAAGCTAAGATCGAACAGTGCACCTAGGTTGTGCACCACTGTCACAGGAAGAGGGCGTACTCCATCAATTAGTGGAGGCTCAAGCTCCCCCTGTCCCATCTTCAGCCGACTCTCTGACCCTACAATAATCAGCTCTGCCTAGTCAGGATTCAGCCTTAGCCAGTTCTGCTGTTACCATGCAGCTACCTCTGCATGTAACCCGTGCCTCTGGATGATAGCTCCCAGCGGCCTAACATAGATGTTGAATAAAAGGGGAGATAAAACTGACCCCCTGAGGGATGCCATAAAGGGAGAGGGTCCAGTAGGGGACACGTCGGGACCCCAGGCAACCTGCTGGGTCCTGCTCTGCAAAAAAGATCCAATCCACTTCAAGGCGGTGCCTTCGATTCCTTCCAGGTCCCGTAGGCACCGCAATAAAACCCCACGATCGATTGTATCAAATACCGCTGACAGGTCCAACATGACAAGGGCTGAAATACAGCCCCTGGTCATCGCCACGAGGGGATTGTCTGGCATGCAAACCAAGATGGACTCAGTTCCACGATGGGCCCTGAAACCTGATTGAGTGACATCAAAGAAGCACTCGGCTTCAAGACACAACTCCAACTGGGAGGAGGCCACTCTTTCTATAATCTTCCCTAAAAATGGAAAAAAGGAAAGATTGTAGATTGGGCTAAAGTTAGCCAGGATATCAACATCCAGTTCCATTTTATTTAGGAGTGGTCGCACTAAAGCCTTTTTCAGGGGTCCCGAGAACACTCCTTCTGAAAGGGAAGAGTTGACCAATTCGGTCAACCGTTGGGATCGCCAGCTCAAATGCCTCCTTAAGAACCCAGGAGGGACAGGGATCTGAATCACAAGTGGTCCATTTCATCCCCGCAGTGGGCTGGATGAGGTCTGCAGGCAGGACCAGTTAAGCAATCCTCAAAGACGAGGGGAGCCCTTGGGTCCAAGCTAGGATCAGCACTAATTGCTCGGCAGGTACCTTCTCTAATGCGATCGATCTCATTAGCAAAGAACTGATGGACATCTTTGCAGCGCTCTTCAGAAGGAGCAACCTTTATGGACGTACAGTCTTGGTGAATAAAACCGTTGACCATCCTGAACAGTTCAGCAGGGTGGTTCCTTGCCGAGTCAATCCTTATGGCGACATACTTTTTTATTCACCATGAAGATAGCCCCTGCGCGTGTATGCCTATTGACGGGCTCCTAGATTTGTTCGATCATCGAGTTGAGATCTGTGGCAGAATCGTTACATTTTCCTAAGTTATACTTTCAAGGCCAAGAGGGCTCTGGAATATCAGCGGGATGCTCGTGGTAACTTGAGCATGAAGATGGCGGCGAAGAGCAGGGTCATTGATAGCAGATCAGAGCACTAAACTGTACTTATCAACTCTTTCATTGATGGTACCACTGTCACAGTAAGAGGAAATATGGGCCGATAAGGCGTCATGATATACGGATGAGGTCGTTATCCTAATGGGCCAAACCCAGCCCCCCTGAAGTCCCCTTCACTGTTGGAGAGGGGTAGGGAGACCCT